CCCCACCCTCTCACACCTACACCCACACATATAAATCCCCAACCATACCTCCTATCTCATCACACCTACACCCACGCATATAACCACCCAACCATACCTCCACTCACATCTCACCTACATCCACACATATAAACCCCCAACCATACCTCCACTCTCACCACACCTACACATATAAACACCCAACCATACCCCCACTCACATCACACCTACACCCACACATATAAACTCCCAACCATACCTCCACTCTCATCACCCCTACACCCACACATATAAACACCCACCCATACCTCCCCTCTCATCACACATATAAACACCCAACCATACCTCCCCTCTCATCACACCTACACCTACACATATAAACCCCCAACCATACCCCCACTCTCATCACACCTACACCTACACATATAAACACCCAACCATACCTCCACTCTCATCACACAGATGTTAACAGTGGTGATTGTCATAACATGTAAACAAATATTGAAAGCATTATGTAAAGTTTAATATTATTCATCCCTATTTCAAATGCTGCAGTACTGTAGATATTTTCTGTAGATATATATCTACAGTTTATATTTGTTTTTATCTGATATATATATCTGTATTTATCCGATATATATATCTGTATTTATCTGATGCTAACAAAGCTGCCTATCATGATGTATATTTATGGTAAAACACAACATCTGGCATAGGAAGCTCAGTAGGGCAAACACCTACAGTGGAGACTTATTAAACCAGTCGTATTGTGAATTGGCTGGTACGTGTACTGGGAAATTTGATTGAGACAAAAGACAATATATCTCCTTATACATAGTACAGCTAAATTCTCGCCCATTGACGGTAAAACTGATTTTTGCCAATATTGAATTTGCCCTTCACATTTAATTACTATGTATATAATGTTGTTTATAAACATTTGCTGTAATGATAAATTCGCCCTCATTACTGAGGACAAAAAAGGCGAAAGTAAAATTTAGCAAAACTTTCCTGGTATACAGTATTGACCAGCATATATAGCGGAACAATATTTCCCTTAACCCACTGACTTAATATGTACATGTAGTGATACGATCAGATAATGGAGGCTGGAAGGGCACGGCTGTTCTCTATTCTATATATATATATATATGTATAATTAATATATTGTGTAAGAAACTAAATATGTATGTTATTATGATAAAATATTAACCATACTGTTATAAGAATTAACCATATACAAGGATATGTAAGTTATTTATGAAGGAGCTGTTTATAAAATGGCATGTTGTTATACATGAACTATCTATGACAGTTTACACTTGTCTTAATGAAATCATGTTCTATTTTGTGCAATTAAAAGTTTATATATATTGCATGTATACTGTACATGTAGGGCTGTCAAAATATATTGGAAAACCTGTTAATCACATTATACAGGCATATTGCTCTGTATCACAATACAGTACTTTATAAAAGCTTAGTAAAGTACTAAACACATTAATAAGTCTATGTCCGTGACCATAAACAGACTATTTCTAGTTGTGGGAATCAGTTGAAATTTCATAATCGATGGTTGCTTTAACAAAAAGTCTTAAATCTGTCTGATCCATATAATAATTGATAATTGAAAAAAACCTTTGTCACCGCTCTACTGACTTTATTCCTCTACAGAATTTCATGAAACTTAATACAAGTGTTTGGTATGGCAATATCTTGACTTTTAACACATTTCAGGTTACTGTGTTGAACGTCAAGGTCTTTTTTACTATTTTTAGAAAAAACTTTCTCATCGCTCTATCGACTTCATTCCTCAATGGAATTTCATGAAACTTCATACAAGTGCTTGAACAACTTCTCCTTTCAGGTTTCTACATTGAAGGTCAAGGTCACTGTTACTATTTTTAGAAAAAACTTTGTCATCGCTATAGCGACTTCATTTCCTTTTACATATGTCACAGTGTGTGAATGCGAGGGGATTTGTATCACTTGTGATGCCTTGTTTCATGTTTCATCAGGTGATTTTTAAATTTAAAAGCTATGATTTCAAAATCAAGGTTACAACTATACAATGTGACATCTTTAGTCTGTATCTGTCTGATGCTTGGTGACATCTTTAGTCTATATCTGTCTGATGCTTGGTGACATCTTAAGTCTGTATCTGTCTGATGCTTGGTTAGTGGGTATTTCTGCCTTGACTTACTTCATTATTACATGTTTTTTTAATGCTGACAGAGTTTGGTGCTATATATAAATGCTAATCAGAATTAGTAATGGTTGCTATCTAACCATTCCTATCTGTATATTGCTTCATATTAGGTCTATTGTGTTGGTCACTTTCTGAGCCTTTTAGTGAAGCATTTAATTAAGAATACACATGTGAATGATTTATATTTGTCATAAAAGACAGTGCTGTATTTGCCGTAATTAGCGCTCCTCCCCCTTTTTCAGGTGGAATTGAAGTTATATAGACCCTATATAAGTTTAAATAACTTATTTCATAATTGTTGTTAAATAAATCAAGTTTATATTGATATAGACCCCCTTCCAGACTTGACCAGGCCCAATCTATGATTTGTAGTACATGTACTTACACTTTAGAGCAGAGATTGATGGCAGGTGATCATAGCTGACTTCCCATGAAGCAAATGATACTTTTTGTTTTCAAAGCTCTAGCCACACGAGTGATTATATTGTCCTTCGATGATAACAAATGGTTGAAGCTGCCCAACTTTTTTTTTCATAACTCACATTTTATTGTTCACTTGCAATAATGATCAAAGATGACATCCCCAAGTTATTTTCTATAGTAATTTTTTTAAGGTAAAACATTTGCTTGTAGGGAAAGACACGGAGACAATGATATTGATAAATATCATTGTTTTATTGGTGGAGACAAAGATCTAGGGGCCGCTACACAGAGATGTGTAGAGTTCCATTACCACAGAGAATACTATACATTTAAACATGTATATCTCTATTAATCAATAAAATGTCTGAACAAAATTTTCTTTTGCCTTTTATTTCTTTTTTTCTTCTTCTGTTTTTCCATTTCAGTCTTTCTGTCTTTTTTTTCATCTTCCCAAATATTGTTATCAAGCTATTCCCAAATCTGTATCGAGCAAGCCAAACACTGTGATGCCAAACACCATGATCAGTCCTGAAAAGTAAATAGTAAGTGAACAGGTAGCTGGAGAGAAATTCAAATATTTGTAGCTTTTGAAATGCAGGATTGACTTAATATCATTAAGTTTTTAGGTCACCTGAGACAAAGTCTCAAGTGACCTATTGCAATCGCCTTTTGTCCGTCGTCGTCCGTTGTGCGTCCATAAACAATTTACATTTTCGACTTCTCCAAAACCCCGGAACCAATTTCAATGAAATTAAGCAGGGACCTTCCATGGACAAAGGTCAACAAAAAGAGTGTCAGGTTTAGTCCCAAGCCCCCAGGGGCCTGAGGGGCGGGGCCAAAAAGGGTTGAATTGACAAAATTTATTATGGTTTATAGAATTATAACCTTGGGTTGACAGTTTGATACTTTGAAAATTTTGAGCAAACCCTACCCCCAAGGGCTGTAGGGTGGGGCTCAAAGGAGTCGGTGTGCTAGAATTTCTTCATTTCCCTTGTTTAGAATCAGAGGTGCTAGTTTCAAATACTTTTTAGTCTGAAATCTGTATGCTAGATATTGAATAAGGTGGTTTTATTGTTTTTTGTCACTTTGAATAATATTTCTATTCATGTTAAAAACAAAATCAACTCTCTGTATAAATATATCAGGTGACCGTTAAGGCCCATGGGCCTCTTGTTGTAAATTTATCAATCCTATGGAAAACTCAAAAAAACGAGGTTCAACTGTACAATACATTTGGAATTGCAATCACAGGTACTTGATTGTAGAATCAGGTATGTTTGGAACAGGTGGTACTATAATTAGCACATGTTCTTATTCATGTTGTTCTTTCTCTTTCAAACGAGGAGTGTAATTATATTGATCGTTCCCTGTTGACTAGTCATCAAACAACACAATGTAACGCTTACTGGTTGTTCTACATAACCGTTCTACAATTCATACTTACCAACCTGAAGAAAATGTTTAGAAATTCCTTGGAATATACTGTTTAACGGAACTAGTTTTTCAGGTAACAAAGAGGTGGAAAGGTGATTGGTCGCACGAGTCGGACAGAATTGCCATTTCTGTTTTGTGATTGGTCATTTGAGTTTGGAAAACTATTTTATAGACTGATCAGACATTGATTCCAGACTCTAATTTCTTGTATCAGAGCCAATATTACCCAGTGAAGTGTTTATTGTATCAGCCTGTTCTGGAGAAATATGAAAACAAGCTTATGAAGTATGTTAATCACATTTTAATATGGATGGCATTTTATATGACAATACAAATATACAATTTCATATATAATAAATAGTTCAATTTGGATTAACCATCTTGTTTTAAGGACATGTGCAAATCATCCTGATTTCAATACACTTCAAACCAAAGTGATTAAAACTAGAAAACTTTGTAAAACAAAGCATGTCCTTAAAAAAAAATCAAATAATCTAGACTGAAAATAACAAAATGAGCAATTGTTCTATGTGGTACTATTGCATTCATGCTATCAAAAAAACTTGCATCAAGTGACCTTCTGACCTTGAAAACCCGCCTCGATCTATAGACTTCTTATTTCTTCCAAGACAACTTTAATTGGTCGATATTCTACGGTCACTTCTGGGCTAGACAATAAGGAAAGCCTGGTACTCTGAGACTAGGTAGTGAAATCTCCAGCTGGACTAGTGGTTCTACACATTTCTAGTCCAATTTACAACATTTGATATTGCTTACCATGTTGAATCATATTGGGTTGGTTGAAATTGATTATGGACAAGTAAAATCGGAAACTATTAGCCTGACTGACTAGTGTTGCCCATGTCTGTCCCGTCCCAACCCGCCCGATTCAATGTAAACACTTAGCAATTTCATTCTTTCACAGATTTTTGTCAAACTTTATACACAGGTCAAGTATGAGTATACCTCGGACATCGTTTTTGTGTTTCAGGGTTCCAAGGCCAAGACCATGCTTGCTATATATAGAAAATCACTAACCGATTCAGTGTCATCACTCTAGCTATTTCATTTCTAAACAGATTTTGATGAAAGTTTATACACCGAATAATTCGGACATCATTCTGTGTTTCAGGGTTCCAAGGTCAATGGCCAATGGCCAAGGTCACAGTTGCTATATATATAGAAAATCATCAACCGATTCATTAACAGATTTTGATAAAAGTTTATACACCGAATACCTCGGATGAGTTCATGTTTCAGAATTACAAGGTCAAAGAAGTTGTCACTATTTATAGAACATCAAACACTGAAACTTACTTACATGGCGGCGGGGGCATTCATGTCTTACAGACATGTTCTAGTTAATAATTAATTTCTAGCCCTGCATTTTACAGAAAACATCAACTCTAGATGCCCTCTTCGTAGCTGGAACAGAAAACCAATATTATATAGGTCTGAAAACTAGCATCTGATCATAGTATCCAACATACATGTAAACAGAAGAGTTGTTAACAAAATAGAATTTAAAATTTGCTGAAAAGTAAACCTTAATAACTAACTTAAATAATTCTATTAAAGGCATATAAATCCAAGGAGACCTTTTGAGTGGAAACCAGATTTGTTTCACAATTTCTGTAATGGTGACCTTCTTTGAACATGAAAAATAATCTGAAGCACTTAGGCCACCTCTATTATCAGCCCAAGATAGCCTGTTGAAATGGATTTTCTATTTATAGTTATGGTGACCTTGACATTTAATCCTTTGACCTGAACTGTAAAGCAAACACTTCCCAGTCAATTTGTGTATGCTCAAGGGAAGCTTGTGATTTTGTGTGAAAACAGATTTTTGTTTTAACTATAACAAGTGACAGTTCAGTTAAAAGCCATCAGTTCGCTTACATTATAATTTGAGACAAAACCATAAATATCCTACAAATGTACACCACTGTCACTACAGCACTAAAACAGACACTCTCTTATTGAAGGGAAAGCATAAAGAAGAGGCCTGATGGGCATGTATCACTTCACTGGTTATTTAAGCAATAATGGCAAAATATTTTCATTAATAGAAACATAACAAATATTCCCGATTTGAAACTCTACCTCTCAGGACCAAAGGGGACAATACCTTTCCATTAGAAGACATTGGTTTTCCTGGTCCCATGGATGTTTCATAAAAACTTTGGTTTATGCAACAAAACCCCTGTTTGCCCAAGGATTCTCCAGATCAAATTCAGTAAAAAAATCCCTTCATCCATATGGAAGGATTTAAAAGATCTACCTCTGTTTCTTCTATTAGGCCTCATTCTTTTGCCCCCAGGAGGGACATGCATTGCATTCTCAATTTAAATAACATTAACTCCTATTTAAATCCCTTCCTTTGTTGTAAAGACAATGATTTTAAAGGTTTACCATTATTTCCCATATTGGGCCCTGCCCCTGTCCCCAGGGGAGCTCACCCCCTATTTGGCCCTACACCTGTCCCCAGGGGAGCTCACCCCCTATTGGGCCCTGTCCCTGTCCCCAGGGGAGCTCACCCCCTATTGGGCCCCTACTCTTTGACCTCGCCTCTGTCCCAAGGGGAGCTCATTCCCCCTTTTTGGTCTACCACCTCTTTTGAGCACAAAAATTATATGTTCTCAGAACTTTCACCAATTCCACTTGTAACTGTGACACAAAGTTAGAATAAGAAAAGTTAGGAAGTTACAAGTTATTTAGTCATGACTCTGCTGTGGTACACATCAGAAAACTATAACATGCTCTCTGGTTATTGTAACTTGTATAAATAATACACTCCACACCATTTCTCTCATCATGACTGCCATCCCAATGTTTTATCATGACAAAGTCTGTCAATATGTATTTTTTATGAAACCAGGCAAATGACACTTACTACTCTTATCCAGCAATAAGCCAATGCCTGGTAATAAGCCCACCCATATATATTTTAGTTCTGTAGAAATTACAACAAATGCCATTTCACTGTCCTGTAATAAGCCCACCTCCTACTTTAAGTCGTAAACTGTGTTGGTCCCTGGGCTTATTGCAGGATGCATACTGTAATTTATTTCACAGCATGGATGATTTACGTGTTGCAGAACAAGTACTGTAAGTGACATCTCTGACACGTAATCTGACATGGCAGTGTAATGTCTGTCTGTATCACAGTAAGCTTTCCATAGTTCTCAAAACGTGACATGATTTGGTATAAACAGGCGGTCTTCCTCCCTCTTCACCCAACGTAACAGCTTGTTGATAGCTTGGATAGCTGCCACTTTGGTCACTAGCGGTCCAAATACTGCATACAGCTCAAAACTCTGTGTAACCTGTAAGATCAAAATATGAAACTCTGGTAATTTAACATACAAAAATCTGGTAATCTCAAACATACAAAACTCTGTGTAACCTGTAAGATCAATATATGAAACTCTGGTAATATTTAACATACAAAAATCTGGTTATCTCAAACATACAAAACTCTGTGTAACCTGTTTATTTAACATACAAAACTCTGTTTATCTCAAACATAAAATTGATAGGTAGATTTTATATAAGAAAATGAAATTGTAGTCCCATGACCAAGTCAAATACTTTCAGAATGTCTGGACCTGCCATTTACGATTGACCACAACACATCTAATTTCCTGTAATTTTATGTTATTAATGATTTATATACATATATTATTTTAAACTTAATAAAAAGTCTGTTTTCTCCGCAGTCTCTTTACAGTCAGAAAACATGCAAGTTTCCATAATTTGCACAAATGAGTGAGGTAAACAGTGTAAACATGATAGCGTTTCATAGTGTTTGTACCTAAAGGAGACAATAATAGATTTTATAATGGAAATTTTGAAAGTTGTACATTTCTATTTTTAAAAATTACAAGAGCATCAATAATGATTTCATTATGAAAGATGGAGTTGTGTACTCCAACTTTTGATAATGAAACTGAGGCAAAATTATTTGATAGGAGTGGAAAATATTACCCAGCCAAGGAGAGTCTCGTGTGGCCCAACAGTGTAGAGTATTTTCAATGGGCGAGCTGATGTGTGTATTCGGTGATGGAGGTAGAAGTATAGGCCACAAAGACGCTCCTGTTCTGTCTCCGAAAGGTACGGTGCTTCTAATTCTGGACTTGTGAACTGGGCCATGTGCCGAGACTTGTACAGAAAATGTCGCAGGTCAGATATACCACACTGTTGTATACTGTAGCTGGTCTTCATCAGCGAATCACTGATGGCCTTCAGAGCGTTGTACTTCACTAACCGCTGAAAAAAAGTAGAAAGTCAAATAATAGAAAGAACAAAAGGACCTTAAAACTAACATGAGTTTCATAGCCTAAGGAATAAACCAATGATCGTACTGAAAATAACAGTACTGATGTTTGGTTAGATACATATACGGTACATTGACATACTTTCAAGTCAGTTTCTGATGTAATTTACATATCTATCTACAAGTACCAATCTCCTGGTGAAACAGGAGAATACGTTTTTAACATAATATTTTCTTTATCAGCATATTTGAAAGTTGTATGTTAGAACTAACATTCTTTTATCACTACATACAGATGATCGGTAATTGATGTACATTTTATTTTGTCATACCTCTTTGATTTTGTTCCTGCACTCGGACAGTATGAAGAATGACTCGCGGTCAACAGACAGAAGTAAGAGACAGGTTTCACACCGATCATCCAGGTAAGAGATGTGAGCTTGTAGGAAACCACTGCAATTACAATACAGCACGTACACTACACAACACATGTAGTTATACAAACTATATCCTTACACACTACACAACACATGTAGTTATACAAACTATATCCTTACACACTACACAACACATGTAGTTATACAAACTATATCCTTACACACTACACAACACATGTAGTTATACAAACTATATCCTTACACACTACACAACACATGTAGTTATACAAACTATATCCTTACACACTACACAACACATGTAGTTATACAAACTATATCCTTACACACTACACAACACATGTAGTTATACAAACTATATCCTTACACACTACACAACACATGTAGTTATACAAACTATATCCTTACACACTACACAACACATGTAGTTATACAAACTATATCCTTACACACTACACAACACATGTAGTTATACAAACTATATCCTTACACACTACACAACACATGTAGTTATACAAACTATATCCTTACACACTACACAACACATGTAGTTATACAAACTATATCCTTACACACTACACAACACATGTAGTTATACAAACTATATCCTTACACACTACACAACACATGTAGTTATACAAACTATATCCTTACACACTACACAACACATGTAGTTATACAAACTATATCCTTACACACTACACAACACATGTAGTTATACAAACTATATCCTTACACACTACACAACACATGTAGTTATACAAACTATATCCTTACACACTACACAACACATGTAGTTATACAAACTATATCCTTACACACTACACAACACATGTAGTTATACAAACTATATCCTTACACACTACACAACACATGTAGTTATACAAACTATATCCTTACACACTACACAACACATGTAGTTATACAAACTATATCCTTACACACTACACAACACATGTAGTTATACAAACTATATCCTTACACACTACACAACACATGTAGTTATACAAACTATATCCTTACACACTACACAACACATGTAGTTATACAAACTATATCCTTACACATGTAAATATGTACACTACACAACACATGTAGTTATACAAACTATATCCTTACACACTACACAACACATGTAGTTATACAAACTATATCCTTACACATGTAAATATGTACACTACACAACACATGTAGTTATACAAACTATATCCTTACACACTACACAACACATGTAGTTATACAAACTATATCCTTACACATGTAAATATGTACATTACACAACACATGTAGTTATACAAACTATATCCTTACACACTACACAACACATGTAGTTATACAAACTATATCCTTACACATGTAGATATGTACATTACACAACACATGTAGTTATACAAACTATATCCTTACACATGTAAAATGTATACTACTGTAAATATGTTCATGCACATTACACAACAAATGCAATATAAATGGCGATACAAAGTCCTAACACATATAGTTATATATATTATACTGCACTTATGTGGCCATTGACCCCTCAAAACTGAAATTGACCCTCCATGTTCCAATTTTCTTTTAACTTTACATAGAAATTAGAATGGCCCCTATACATTTTGATATTGACAAAAAATTACTGAAAATGGCCCACTGCTCCAAATTTAACGATTTTCCCTGGATAACTGTATTGTGTATTAAATGGTCATTGTCAGATCAGTTTTCTCATCACAAGCACTGGGACATCATTAACAATCCCTGATGTGTCAATAAATATCAAATTACCTTTGTCCACTTTCCAAGTAAAAGTATGCAGCCGAAAATAATATGTAAACAGTAACACACGCAGCAAAAATACAACTTTGTGTGAAGAAAAAACCCCACAAACGACAGTAGTGACAAACCTGGAGTCAAACTTTGGTAAACATATCGGTGTCCAAGACTCGGCGGCCTTGAAGGATTCGGATGCATTAACGAGGTTAATGATGAGGTGAAGATCCATTGGATGTAGAAAGTACTTTTTCATCCTCACAAGTGTTACAAGCTGGTTGTTAGCTAGGATGAGGGCAAACACCAAATCCTGTGGGGTAAAAAAAACGTGAACAGCTGAACAATTGTTGAGCGAGCAAATGTAACTGATTATTCAGATAAAAGGTAAAGCCTCATCCACTGATTGATAACAATATAAACAGTACTTTCTGTGACTAAAGCCTCCATTAATACAGAAAGAGCTCCATGATAAGATCCACATTAAATATCTATCTATGAACATTTGCTGGAAAATACAAACAAATCTCATCTACTCAATAGTTTAATTTCAACACATTTTGACCACTATGACTTTGTGAGTGATGGTCATTCATTTAAACATAAGCCGTAGTCCAGAAAGCTACAGTACAGATATATTGGCTATAAACCTTTTGGTCCTGTAGCTAGAAGTCACTCCAATTCTAAGCTCTCTTGGCACAAATAGTTTGTATGAGAAGGAGGGGGCTGTTAGACTCTTAATTAACTGCTTCATCTGCCCTTTTTTAAGTACATTTAATCTTACCTTTACTTTTGCGTTCTGTACAATGGTCTGAGCGATGTTGTCCCTGACCTGGCTGTCTAATGGTAAACAGCGAACAGCTCCTAACAACATCCCTGGTTCTGTGTCCATCATGTTTAGCAAATTGTCCAGAAACTTTTCTGCACCAGTCAAAAGTCTTCGTAAATCATAGTTCCTTCTCTGTTTGAATATCCTATGGAGCGTACTAAACGTAAGAACGCTGAGAATTTGATTGTACACATACGACAAGTGAAGAAGGATCTGCTGAGATGACTCTGCACCATGTGACACACACACCAGAATTAAATGTTCTCTGACTAGGAAGACAAACTTGTGATCACCTGCCACCATAAAACGCACCAAGTCTTTGGAATCTTGGACAAATGAAACTAGAGCTGACATGACCCCCATTACAGTGACCAGTTTGTCCTCATTACCAAACCTGTAAGAACAAATTCAATTAATTAACACAACCTGATTTATATCAACACAGGATTCAACATTTTAATTGTTTTTATATTTAGCTGCTGACAATGAAGGCTTGAGCAAACCTGAGAACAATTTCTGAATGAGAACCATTAACTGATATACATTGGTTCAATACAGACTACAAAAGTCACATTGGCAGCGTTTAATTAAAGAAGGGAATATTATATAATGAGATATGTTTTGACTAACAGTAATGATGTGTCTAAGTGAAACAAAAAATTGCTTTTTCATTATAAAGTGTGTTCTTCATCAAATACCTGGTATACACTGGTTTTCCAGCCTGACTTAGGATAAAGACATGTTTCTTTCGTTGTCGCCATTCTTGAGTATCTACTTCATCTATTTCCTCCTCATCTTCTAGACTCACTTCTGGATGTTGTAATTTGGAAACCTCGTCCAGAGCCTGTGATATCTCTTTTGTTGAAATCTAAACATAACACATAAATGCTGTATTTTAATCAGGGATCATACCATTGGATTCTCCCCCTAACACATAAATGCTGTATTTTAATCAGGGATCATACCGTTGGATTCTCCCCCAACGTCTGTTTTATGACATGACCCTAAAAACATGTTGACTGAGATAATGCCACGGTCAAAATGACAATGTAACCTTTTTCTGGTTTAATACCACTGAATATTTACCATCAAAACAACCCATAACTGTTTTATCATATATGCTTCAACAATAAAAGGTTCTTAGATTGACGGTTTCAGTTTGTATGACAGGGGACAGATCAAAACCTGAAAACTACAGACCAGTCGTGCTCACATCATTACCCTCGAAGATCCTTGAACACATCATAGTATCACAGATAATGGACCATCTAGACAAGCAGAACATACTACACGAAAACCAACATATGCATGACTTCAGAAGAAAATACTCCTGCGAAACTCAACTATTCCTCACTGTAGACGACATCACCAAGTGAATCAACAACAAGATACAAGTGGACATCGCCATACTAGACTTTGCTAAGGCTTTTGACAAAGTTGCACACCAATGCCTATCAACCGAACTACACTACTACGGGATACAGGGAACAGTGGATTAACAACTTTTTGGCAAATAGGAAACAACAGGTACTAGTAGAAGGGAAAACATAAGCATCATCACCAGTTACAGCAGGGGTACCACAGGGAACTGTCCTCGAACCTACACTCTTCCTAATCTTCATAAACGACATTGCAGACAACATCCACTCAACCATCAGACTCTTTACAGACGACTGTGTACTCTACACACCCATCAACACACCAGCAGACTGTACCAAACTAAAAAAAAAAGACCTCAACACATTATGTAACTGGGCAGACACCTGGTAAATGGAATTCAACGTTAAAAAAATGTGCCATCAGGTAAGCCACCAACAAGAACACAATTGTAACAGTACAACTCTCTAATGCAAGGACAGACATTAGAAGTAGTAGGACACCATCCATACCTAGTAGAACTTTCGGCCAACTTCAACATGAACATAGACAACATGAACATAGACAACATGAACATAGACAACATGAACATAGACAACATGAACATAGACAACACCATCAACAAAGCGAACAGAGTAGATGTACTTGGATTTTTCAAGAGGAACCTAAAACACTGCCCACAACAAATCAAGGAAAAAGCATATAAAAGCCTAGTCAGACCAAAACTAGAATACAGCAGCACAGCATGGAACCCACATACATCATAGAGCATCAATAAGATAGAGCAGGTCAATAAAAATTCAGCATACTTTGGCTCCACAAACCACATCGTCTACAAAAATCCAGACAGAGATAGTACAACACAGATGGTCAACAATCCAGACAGAGATAGTACAACACAAATGGTCAACAATCCAGACAGAGATAGTACAACACAAATGGTCAAGGATCTAAAATTAAATGGGAAACACTGGAACACGGACATCATCTTTATGCACCATAAAATTTGTCACAGTGTAGCAGTATCCATCGCCTATCACCCCACCTACTCAACTATCACAACGACCAAGAACAGACACGTGCACTCCTACAAACTCTACATCCCGGGCCACACACGACCACCAACGTATACAGTTACCAACGTATACAGACACTCCTTCATCCCTGGACCATCACACTATGGAACCTCCTGCCTCCCAGCGTAACCATGATTGAGGACCTGGATGCCTTTAATGCGGCAGTGAGGAGAGAGGTGGCATAGATCACTTCTCCCTGCATTTAGTTTAAATTTGCACAATGCTCAGCATTTTGAAGTTGAAGATTTTCTGTTACATTTTATTACAGGTTCCCGATTGCGGCGCGTCTAATTACCCAATACTACCCAATACCACCCAATACTACCCAATACCACCCAATACTACCCAATACTACCCCATACGACCCAGTTATGAACCAAATACTTCTTTATTACTGTGAAATATCACCTTTGTAGACGTTATTTACTTCCATCTGTCATATTTTATCGGGAAATATGCGATTTGGTGCAGAAAACATCACCGAATTGCCGTGACTATGACCCAATACTACCC